ATAATCTAAATCATTTTTGAAAGTGGTTGAACCAATTTCTACTCCCCTCAGCAATATGTAAGTTTCCATTGGTATTAAGTAACTTTTTGTTTTTCTTGAAACTGTGTTTTGATTTGCCTGAAAATGCCAATAMTCTATGGAAATGTCAAAATTGCTGTATTCCAGTATATGTATCACATAACCTTAAAGCAATCAATAAAAAAATGAAAGAAGGCAATACCAAACAATTAAGTTTGGATTTACAATAATGAATTTTAAATTTATACTTGAATGTGTAARATATTTTTTGGTAGATTCAAGATATGGATTAGAGAAAGGCTGCATTTTCAGCTGCAATGTGGCTTAGGATTCAAGCAGCAGGAGTACTTCCTTACAGCAAGGTGGGTAAAAAAGGGAATTCATTGAAATTTAATACTGGACAGTCAGAGACTCTTAGATCCAGATTACACAGGTGCATTAAACAAAGGACAAGAGAGAGTACCTTGGAGCTAAGCTGGTGGGAGAAGTGGCATCAATGCCTGTTAACCACAGAGGGAAAGGATAACTAACAGAGAAACATAATAGCATGGAAAAACCTGTGGAAMAGAAAAGTAGTCTGAGCATAGCTGAATCAGAGGGTGCACAGCAAGCTGCTGTTTAAAAAATGCTTCATGTTTCTCAACTGGCAAGTGGTGAACTGAGGAGAGAAGCCATCTTGAGGAGGCGATGTTGTAGATAGATTGCTGCTGTGGAAGCCTGAGAGATCACAATACATACTGCCATGCTATCCTGACAAGGCCTACAGTGTAGCCTAGGGTATATCTTGGTAGCATCAGGTGATTAAAACAGGCACAAAGAAGAATGTACCCAAGAGATTCCAAGTCAGAGACGTGGAGGGGAGTGCAACTCACTTTCCCTTTGAGCCTGGCACTTATGTGATCAATTGTAGAAGGTCAGGGAATTGAACAAGCAGGCATGATTACATTTGGGGACTAAGTCTAGTAAGACTACACTKATGGATGGTAGGGTTGCAAGACCTCTGGTGGGTTGGCTCCTCCACCCTATGAGAAATCTTGGGAGGCCCTTGAGGTGCAGACACCCAGCAGAGATCAGCATTT